GTTATTCTTCAAATGTAGTAAGCATGTACTTCAAATCATAAATGGGCTTTAGGCACATAGATCTTATTCATCATTACAGGGTTTGGGGCTGGCCAGCTGTGCCCTTGGAAGCCTATATCAGTTATCTATTAGCCCATCAGAGTAACTTGGGCAGTAATATGTGCCTTAAGATAATGGAATGAGGTGGTTTACTTTCTAATTCAAATACTGTTTTCTTCCCACCCATTCTGCCTTTCTCTTGTTACGTCTTTCTGGACGTTTTTATTTGATAGGAATCTATCTTCTAGACATCTCAAATTCTTCTGTAGGCATTTATTTCTGCAGATGCTTTTCAAAAATCAAATGTACTGTTTTTCCCAATAGAGGTTAAAGTATACATAGGAGGAAGAGAGAACACGAGTATTTTTTCCACAAAGGATCAGAATTGACTTTGGATCTGTCCTTCAAAAATTGTGGTCAGAAAATTGGGAAGATTGTCTTTTGATATATCACGAGAAGTAATAATGTGTAACTGAAAACTTCTGCTGGGTGGCATTTTCTGAATTATGTGGTTATTCTTGATATAGGTAATTTTTGCAACTTGCATGCTTCTCATAAGAGAAAACTGAAATCTTTTCATTATATCCTGGTTTTAGGCAGTGAATCCTAGTGAGGTTTTGTCAGAAACTTAGGATGGTATAAGTGTACTTATTGCAGTGCTAAGGGTACCTTATCCTTTTCTATTGCTAAGTATCCTCCATTTGCAACTCTGCTGCCTGTGTTTCAGCAACTCTGCCCCCATTCACCCAAGCTGCCTTGACACTGTTGCAGAGCCTTTGGGTCAGTATTTCCTCTTGTTCTCATGCTGTTGTCTGTATGTACCTTGCTGCTGTGAATCCCTATAGTATTTGGTGGGTTCTCTTCGTAGCAGCTGGCAGGAACAGGAGAAACATCTCTTCTTCCCTTTGCTTTCCTCTGGATTGTAGGTTTTGGAATCATTAGGGGATGCCGTGCTTAGTAGCCAACATCCTGTATGTATCCAGTGAGGAATCTACAAAGGTCCTGATGAAAAGTACATACTATGGAAAATTCCTATAGGAGAGATGATTTGCAACATCTCCTTTTATTCTCACTTTTTCTCCAAAGTAACTTCCATTGTTAGAGTCACTGTCTGCCATCAGCTATGCACCCTGCTAATAAATCTAGGTGAACCTGTTTCAGGATCCTTTATACAGCCTAGGTAGCTTGTATTCACTTAAGTTCTGTGCAAAAGTGATAATGAACTACATGAATGCCTGTGTGTTTTCTAGGGAAAGCTGGCAACTGAGGTGGGAAGAAAGGTCAGATTACATTGGTAAAAGTATATTGAAGCTTGGTATTAGAACACTTGGAAGCTGGGCACGTTTTTTGCTTTCAGCAGAGTATGTCCCTTTTTTCTCCTCCACCTTCAAAGGCAAAATAAAGTTCTCTAGCTCTTTTTTTTACCTTCTACATTCCCCTGAAAACTTCCTTGCCTCCACTCCTTACAAAAAAAAAAACAACAAAAAAACAAAACAAACCCCTAAGCAGTTAGTGAATTTCTGGTCTTTTTCCTTTCTCAGGGCAATCTATAATGAAGTGATGCCCATTCTGTAGCCAAACTGCAGTTGAAGTCTGAGCATTCAGGGACATTTGAAAGCAGGCAAGTGCTGTTTCCTTGGTGGAGGGGAACATTTTCCCTGTCTAGTTACAGTGTATATCCTAAAAAAGAAATAATACTTCTTGCAAATGGACTAGGAAAAGTAAAGGGCTGCAACTGCTCCTAAATAATTTATCAAAATAATCTGTGTCCCCAGGTGTGACCCTCTAACTCTTTCTGATTTGATTATTTTGGTGTTCCATGCTTAGCCCAGGTAGATAATGACCCTTTCCATATGCTGTGATTTTAAATGTGTGGGGTTTAGCTTGAGAAATTAAGTCTTTCACATCCAAAATTTTCCAAGGCAGCTGGAGGGTTTTTAAAAAGCAGTTCATGTTTTACAGCAGTGGTTAAGTGATTTTTCTTTTTTTTTTTTTTTTAGTGCTGAATATATGTATACTTATACTTGTATAAAATTTTGTATTTATCCAGCGAAAGACAGCACTTAAAAGTCAGTGCAGGGTTTTAATTGTAATGTTTGTAGCAGGGATGTAAGTGTCACTGGGAAGTTAATTTCATGTTAGTGCAGAGCATGACACAGTAAACATGCAGGTTTTTTCTGCTTTATTGACATGTCTTTTGCTGGTGGCAAGACATCAGTCCAGCATTCATGACCTGTCTTGCTTTTACATGTGATTCAGGTTTTAGATAAGAATCCCATCATATGTTTGGAGGATGCATCGGGAATTGAGGATCTGATGCATTAACTGTACATACTTACATGTTAAAACGCTGTTTTATTGAGATGTGACATTTCAAACTGTTTGCATTTCATAAATTTATTCTTTGCTCTCCTTTCAAAGTGTCTCCTCCCTTGGTAGCAGTATGTGTACACCAGTGTGTGGGTATACTTTATTAAATACCAGCACCAATGTTTCAGACTTTGGAAATCATGTAGATTTGGTTTGGTTAGGTTTTGGGGTGTTTTGTTGGGTTTTTTTTTGCCATGTCTACTTCTCCTCCTCTTTTGTCCTACTGCAGTTCAGAGACCAAGGTTCTCATCTTCTGGTGTCCAGAATATGGTCAACACAGTTCATAGGCTTTCCTAGACATGTAATTTTGATTGCCAGCTCAGAACTGGTATTCTCTCACTGCCAGTTTTGTAAGTATAAATTATTCTTACTTTAAAGATTGAATCCTTAAAGAAAACTGTAGATTTGTCACTGGTTTCAGTGAAGCCAGGGTCTCACAATAGGCTTTAACAAGCTCTATTATGAGTTGTAATAGTTTGATGTTGTAGTACTTTTTTAAAATAGCTTTGGATCACCAGACTTCTTGATCAGCTGAAAGTCTTCTGACCTTTTTCTATCACACCAGTGTTCATTTGGCTGTTTCTTTTTCTGACATCCGACTTTTTCCTTCTATTCACAAGCCATAAAATAATAAGTTGGCTCATTATGGGCCAGTTGAGCTGCTGGTGAGCAGTAGATTTGTGTGACTTCTTATCAAGGAGTGTTGTGGATGCAAGATGTCTACATGAATCTGAGGAAATCACCTGTACTGAAAGTAGCCAGAGACTGAGAAAATATAAAGGAGGACAGTAGTGTACATATTTGCTCACTTTTTACTCTTCCCAAGCCAACTGTTTATAGTGCTTACTGGACACAGAACGTTGGGCTACATAGGCCACTAGCCTAACCCACTGCATCTCTTCATAAACGTCCATATTTTTTCTTTTCATTTTCCTCAAAAAGGTGTTAAGAACTAGGAATTTTACTGTGTCTTTGTATTAAAAGAAGCTTGTTCAAGGAAATTATCAGGAGATATGTTCATTTATAGGCCAACAGGAAGTATGTGAAGTGGGCAAAAGTGTGCCACTTAAAGTCACATTTGAGATATGACAAAATTTGCAAATGTGTGAACAAGACGGGATTAGATTTTGCAAGTTATTTTGAAGCAATTTCCAGCTGTAGGCAGCTAAAGGGTTTAACAGGGAAATTACAAATACTGCCACAAAGTGCAAATTTGAATTTGTTGTAGATGCATGACACTCTTTAAAAAAAAAAAAGTTGTTTAATTGCACACCAGTCCAAAAAACAGATTACTACCTTATGTAATTTGGGGGAAAATTATTCTCAGATGAGCTGTTAATTTAATCTTGTAGATGAAGAGTTTGTCATAAAATGCATATTGAAAAAAAATGCACAAAACAGCTCATTAATTGTGTGTGCTTATAAAGTTATCATTAACATTGTCTATGTAGTTTGTATTAGAACTGACAGCTAGTTCAGTAAGCAGTTTGAAGTGTTTGAGTAGTGACTGTAGCATATCGTTTGTATGTGTCTCATACTATGACTCAGTGATATGTTCTGCATTTTCTGTGAATTCAACCAGATATTTAAAAACCTTCTATTCCTGTTTTTTGCTTTTTTTGTGTCTAGGCTACTTTTTATTTTCTGAAAATTGATAGTTTTTCACAGATTTTTCGTGATGGTATTTTATTGTCAACTTTAACTTTTTATAGGAATAAATGATGATAAATTCACATTTTAAGATTACTTTTTGAATTTTTAGAACTTCCTGCTACATTACAGCAGTTAAGTGAATTGATTTGCCTAGAAGGAGCAAAACTGACTGCAAAAAATGGTTGTTTTATTGATACTGGGTGGTAACGGAACACGGCAAAAGTCATGCTTATTTTTTGCTTTTAAAAAGCAGCTGGAAAGAGAGAATTTAAATGTACTTTAGGAAGAAGTAGATTTTTTTTTTATTGTAATTTTCTGAATAACATGTTGAAAAGTTGACTTCAAGACAGTATACCCCTTTTTAGTTTCTTTAATATGCATACTGAGATGGCTGTCAACCCATTTTTCCAACTTGTCAAGGTCCCTTTGTATGGCAGCATGACCCTCTGATGTATCAGCCACTCCTCCCAGTTCTGTATAGTCAGCAAACTTCCTGAGGGTATGCACTGCCCCACCATCCACGTCGTTAATGATGATATTGAACAGGATTATTGGGCTGGTTTCAGATTTCATTTTCATAGCACATACAGGGTTTTGTGGTATATTTATTTATCACTTTCGATTGTGTCCAGGCACATTTTGCTGCTAGGACAGTATTTCTACTTTTTGAGGGTGCATTCTCATTCTATCACCAATATGTTAGAAGCCTTCTAGATTTCTTCTCTTTGTGACAATTTCTATTGCAGTATTTCACCATCACCACCTCCTGCAACTTGCTTTGCACTTCAAGACAGAAGGTTCAAGTTCAGTGCCCTTTGGAAATTAAGCTGTATGAGTTGATATTGCTGTTTTTTTCTTCTGGTGTCTGTATTTGCCAAAATGCTGTTTTAAAGAAGAAAATGTCCCTTATATAAACACTTTTCTGTCTTTATTCTTAGGGTTTGCTTCTACGCCAGTGAAAGGGAATTGCTGTTCGTATGCTAGCCTGGCATGGGCTTTCCAGACAAGATGTTCCATCTCTGCCCCCTGCACTGTGACAGTAGAGCAACGCAGACAAAGCAGTTTCTTCAATACATGTAAGTCTGGAGTTGGAGTAAAATTATTATCTGCAATAAATAGAAGAAAAGAAAATTTTGCTTTGGAGAGAGACGGGCAAGAAAATCTATGTATAATCACATTTTTATCTATTCTAGCTACCTATCTCCTAAGATTGTAGTTGCAACTACAGCTATTTGACAGAAGTGCATGCACGAGGTCGTTTTATTATCTTTTAAGAGCAAGCAAGGGTTTGTTTCATGTCACAGTGAATCAATCCATCTAATATCCATCGTTGGGTGGATACTCCTTTATTAAGAATATAAATCGTGTCTTTATTTTCTAACTTATTTTTGAGGCACAGGCAGGACGTACTGATCCAGCTGTGCTGTCTCAAAAAAGAAATAACTAAAATGCAGTAATGCTTTAAACAAAAGCCTGTTGACAATGTCCTGCTGATTGTCTGGCCTGCTGCAGTACTTTCCTCCACATACCGTAATTGAGAAAAGGCTGTTTAAATTCACACTTGGGACGGTGAACTGAGATAGCTGAAGGGGCCATTCCACCTGGTTTGTGGTTCCTTATCCTATCCCAAAGGGGATAAAAACGAATAGTAAGAACATAATCTCTGGAGGAGATAACTGCAGCAGTTTGCAGTTCCTTGACTGTTTATAATCCATCAAATACAAGACCTCTACAGAATCGAGCTGTTAGAACTGGTGGTCTCTTCCTGTTCCTCTGAACATCTGAGTGGCAGAATACTATGTTTTCTACATTTTTAATGTAGAGAAATGCTAGTTTTACTACATTTGCTAAAGAAATATTTTAAGCAGTCATGCTGGCTGGCTGTTAATCTTATGCAGTAAATTTTGACCATTGACTGATCTCAAACAACTGAGGGTAGGGAGGTCTCAAAAGAACTGCAAAAGGCTGCAGTGTGTGAACCAGAGGCTCTGCATGGTAAAGGTTTTCTAAGGGTGCCAACTGCAGAAAAAATTAATGTAGAACTTTTTCTTAGGTACCCAAGCAGTCACAAGATAAGAATATGTAAGAAGCTAAGCACTGTTGTTATTTTATTTATCTTAAATTTATAATATGGCATTGCAAGTGATTGCAATGTAATTACAATTTGTAGGTTAGATTATTTTCTTAGTTATGCATGTGTTCATATTCACAAAGTCTAGATGAGCTCTGTTTTAGCTGAAAGTTGGCCAGCTCTCTTGTTAGATGAGTTAATGAAAAATGTGTTAGATGACTGAATTAAAATGTTGTGATGGCATCTGCATTGTTTACTTAATAAAATTTTGAACAAGTTATATTTAGGCAATCTACCCATAGCTATTGGCTTAATAAGGTGTAACAACTTGGAAGAATATAAGTGTGCCTCCTTTATGTATTCATCAGATTCAGAAGATTGAGGGTTTCTGTTTCAAAGTACAGTTTCTAAGAACATTTTCTCTTACAGAATTAGAAAATAAAATCTTCAAAATTCAAACGGAGTAGATTTTAACAGTGTAAATCATTCGTATCCTCTAGCAGTGTAGTTGTGTGGTAACATTAAAAATGCAGATATGACCGTTTTACGTGAAACAGTTCTCAAGTGAAATGTCAACCAAATGGCAAGTTCTTTGTGGCTGAGAAAGGTGACCATACTTTTCTATCTGATACTTATAAGAATATTAACATGCTCTTGTTAGTAGGCACATCTGTAGCTTCAATGTAACTTAAAACAGTTTAACTCATTCAAATAGACAGAATTAATTTAAATAAGAGGAGTGGCAACTACCCTAGCCACTGTGTGATCCTTAACTGGATAGTTGTCTCCTGCAACTCTGACACAGAAACGTACATGAGTTTATTCTTGTCCTATGACATATTCCAGTGAGTTTGTAATGAAATAATTTTAAATGATCTTGTTATCTCAGGCTTATCTTCTGTCCCTCCTTTTCTGTTTCCCTTGTCCCCACTATGGGAAACGGTTTAGTTTCCATTTACTTAAGAATCTCACATGCTTATTTACAGATGTGGAAGGGCCTGAGGTTTTTCAGATCATGCTTAAAAAATATATAACTTCCTCTGAAAAGTCTTGCCTCCTCTTTCAGTGTGTCTCAATAGACCTGGTATTTGCAGATAATGTCTTTATTGTGCCTGTTTTGTTCCAACTTTTGTCTGAGAGGACAGGGCAGATCAGTTTTTCCCTTCCTCTCAGTACATTCCTGGGCTGTCATTCCTGAAGGCAGCGGAGGCACACACATGTGTGTGTCTCCAAGCCGTAGGAGTTATCTTTGATCCCAGTCATCCAAATCAACTAGCATAATTTTCTCAACATCTGTTGTGTATCCAAGTGTATATGAAAATAAAGAACTTCTATTTGATACTGCGACTATATAAAAATCTTGCTTTCCCAATCAGAGTATTAATTCCGTTAGCCTACCCTTGGGAACAAATGAGAAGAACTTAATTTCTCTGTTGGTAGGTGATGTGTCCTCTTAGTTAGAATACAGAATAAGGAATAGGATGATTTTTTCAGAGGTTATAGAACTAGATTGTAATGATCAAGGGAGAATCTTTCAGGCCAACAATATAAAATCATACTCAGAATAACATATTTTGTCTCTAGAGGCTTTGCATACTGGAGGCAATTGTACTCAGTATAAATCTCTGTGTTCTTTCTTGGAAACATCAGCTCCTGAAAGCCTGCTCCTTTAAATTACGTTTTATATTAAATTTTTGTAATTCTGTGTGAGTTTTCTTTGGATTAAATTGTTCATTTTTTCTTCTGTGGGTTTTTTTTGGGGGGGGGGGGGTTTGGTTTTTTTGTGGTTTTTTTTTTTTTTGTTGTTGTTGTTTTGGTTTTGGGGGTTTTTGGTGTGTTGTTTTTGTTTTGGGGTTTGGTGGGGTTGTTTTGTTTTGTTCTGAAGAATTTTTCTTTAAGCATGAACACTCCAGATAAATAATTACTGAGTTACCACTTGTTACTGTCACTGGTATAATACGAAAAGTTCCAATGTTTCTGCATTAACAACATAAAGAGATCCAAATATAAAACTGCCTTTTTCTTTTTCTTTTGTCTTTTTTTTAACTTTTACTAGGGGTGTGCCTGTATGTTGACAAATAGTTGATTAATTGTTTTTAGGCAGAAAAAGGGTAATGAATATTAAAACCTTACAGTTAATTGTATGTAAGGGGGGGGCTATTTTATTGGGTTTTGATATGTTGCTCTGCAGTGTAACTTTTGTGAAGGTGCCTTGCCTCTGGTTTTCATTTAGTTTCAAGGCCGGTCATGTTTATTTTACAGACCTTACTGAAACCTTTTCTTCATATCTATCTTGTGACACTAAGGCTAGCTTTAGTAATCAAAGCAAAAAACATACTAGCATTTACAACAGCATCCATTAGCTAAGTTAAGATCTTGGGTTTTTAATAAGTTGTTTTGAAGAAAAAACCCGTAATTTCTCAGATGTTTGTCCAGATAATTTACAGCAGTTTTGGTTCCTCCTTTAAGCTAACAAGTTTTTAGTCTCTTAATGACTGGGTTTGTAGCTGAGTTTATTCAGCATTTGAATTGTGGCTAACCAGAAAATCCCATGTCTACAGACTCTTGATGATATTGTGATATATTGCCAGTTTTAAAAAATGTGAAATTCTAGTGCCAAGTGCACTGTGAAAGTGTGTTCAAGGTTTGCAGTTAAGTGGAGTAATTCACAATGTTTGTGGAACAGTATGGCTGCATCTTTCAGAATAATATTTTCTAGCTGCAGGGGTTTTGTTGTACTACTGTAATAAATAATATAGACTTCCCTTGCACAAGAAATGTGCAGACACATCTAAACTAATTTTTTCCTGCAATCCACATAATGAGAACTTTAACATTTTTTAATTATATTCTTAAATGTCTATGAATAAGCAGGTAGCCCCTAAAGCTTCAGCCTTCTATTAGCAAAACCAAACAGAAGTCAGAAAATTTATTTCTAGATCAGGGTTTTTTTTCCTGTTTCACTATTGTGGAAATCCAGCTAGCAGTGGGAAGTAGAAATGAGCTTAAGCTTTCAATAAAAACATTACAGATATGTGCAGTTCTAATTTTTAGTCTCTGAAATTTATCTAAAACTATCTTACAACTGTCCCATGGTTCTCACATCTTACATGACCTAATGTTCCTCTTTATGGTCTTGCAGTAGTCCTTGTCTTTCTCAGACATTTTCAGTGTCCATATTCTTGCAGTGCATGAGATACCACCTGCTATCCAAATAAGTTTTGAGTGACTCAGTAGTGAGCTGTCTGGAGTGAATGCTTTATATTCTTAACTACTTCCTAGGTGTGTATAAAGGCCCTATAGAACTAACAGATAATATCCTCAGAAGATGACATCTTAGGAGGTTTGAGGCAGAGCTGTGAAGAGCATGTTTTTGTTAAAGCAGCCTGTCGCTTGCAGGGATGGGAGGAGTTTTTTATCTTTTAACAGAACTCAGTGTCAGGTATACATCGTACACTTCCATTTAGAATATAAGAGGTATCTTTCAGTAGAAGAAAACTATTTTGAATGTGGTCACTTAGGAAACTGCAGAGTAATCCAGCAGCATATTGTTTCTTATGGATCTACACTTTCTTGCTTGCTGTCTGGGATTAGGCAGGGAGTTGAGAAACTATGATGTCACATGATGGCAGGCAGTTGCAGTTTGGAGATAAAGGAAGTAGCAAGGGCAGCTCTCGTTTGGGATGAACATACTGATTTTGACAAAACGGTTTTCGAATCTTACTGGGATGTTATATAGGCTGTTGTGACTTAAACACTGGTTCCTAAAAAAATTTCAATTGTAAATTTTGATTTCCCATAATGGATATATACATAACCTGCAATGACAGTGGCAGAATGATTAATTTTCTGAGATTAACAGCATGCAGCTTTAACAAAATACAGCATTTTAAATTTTACAGTGATACAGCACCTTGGCATGTGACGGAGGATTCCTTTCATGGTGTACTTCACCAGAACTAGCAGGTTTAGGCATCAATTGGTTCTACTGAAAGGTGGCCATTA